TTTTCATGAATAATATTTCAAGTTATTAATCATCATAAGGTCGTCAGTCCTAACACTGGTTAGACACGTACCTCCACTCTATCCTATTCTGAGTTAATCATCGGATTTCCTTAAAACTAGAACAACCGGCATCCTTAACTATTTCCGAACAGTAATCTAATCTAGGTCTACCTCTACCCCTCCTAACTCCCGTTTCTGCCTCTAATATGCCTCTCACTAGACCGTAATTAATTCGATTGGTTTAATTTTATTAGTGGTACGGGACTACGACTATAATGCTTCCAGAAGTTACCGATTTAGTATTGCCTTCCTATTCCAAAAAATAACAACATATCTATATCGTTTAAACCGTTCCAGTTCTAGACACAGTTCCATCCAGGACAACCGTTCATTATTATTTTATTTCTGCCATTATTATTCCGGTGCGTGATTCGACTAGAATACCCTAATATTAATTACTGCCGAACGATGTCCCGGCATATTTTTCTGTATTGCACCTGGCACAGCCAGTCGGCTTGTGCCAATATTCTTTCCAATGGAAGAGAATAGGTAGAATTTGATGTAGATAGCATACATCTATTCTATAGCGTAGTTCGAACACAGCATAGCGTAGCATGGCGTGTCAAAGACTCGCTGTGTGGGAAAACGGGCAAAGGATGAAGACGACCGCGACAACGCATGTGGCATGCAACATGGAAACGGTGAGTTTATATTAAAAGAGAAGCTTCCTGTTTTTGTCACGGATTTCACGGTTGATGATTACCGAAATGCAACTACGTAATACGTCTCCTATAAGTATATGTACGCAATTGTATGCTGTTGACAGTCTGCAATCCTTATTTTCGTTTAAATTCGCTTTAAGTTTGAATATCTCGAAAAGCAGAGTCACCAGAGAAATTCCGACGTCAGATTCTTATTCAGCGCGTCAGACACCTTCGAAACAATATATTTTGGTCAGATCAAAATTTGTCGGCCTTTGGGATTAGAGAAGTTAATCTTTGACCACTTAGTATGTAATTGTCAGACTATAATTAAAGATTCTGGTTAAAGCGAAACATTCAGGATATCGAAAGTAGATGAGAGAATTGATGCTGTTTTGATTCGGATCTAAAGGTCGTCGTCGATTGGAGTTTTTTCCTAACGTTTCGCTAGCACAAGCGGCGAGCTACTTCAGAGGTCTATCCATCTCTGATGCTGGATGAAATTTTCAAAACAAAGTACTAGTCCTTATGCACACAAATTGATCGTCTGTATGTCATTTCACGCTTCTCTACAATTTTTAACCGAAAAATGCAGTTTTACAGTATTACTGCACTTTTATGATGACATGTATTACATTTATCGACAAAGCAGACTTTTCAATTGTTTAAGTTTTATAGTTAAAGAGCGCACAACAGAAGCGAATCCCGGAGTGCGCCACGTACGACCTTCTCGCCCAACAACTGCTCCTAGGCACCGTTAAACACCTGCCGTTTTCATTTGGGATGTTTGCTGCTTGCCTCCAACAAAACTTTTTCCAATTGTGATGTGAACTTCGATTATTATTACAGAAAGTCTTAGTGCGCAAAATTTATAATCTTACTAAAAGTCAGTAAAAATATCACAATTTTTGTATTTGTATAAACAACCAATTATTCAAACTTCTAGCAACTTTATTGTTACATTTGTATTTGGTCTATCGTACTTCTCTGTATCCTTAAGGACTTTCCAATTATTTTGTTTTTTACATAGATTAATTGACGACATTGAATGAAATATCTAACCTTTCAAAGAAAACCCGAATTTTATTGCTTCCCTATAATATGCCCTACTGGAAGTTTGTTAGGGCTGCGGTTCAGGTATCAAAATCAGGGATAAATCAGTATATACCTAGAGCATATCATTAAAGGGTTGAAATAGGGACATTAGTCTAAATAGGGCATGCCATAAAAGGGGCCAGTAAGGGTATCCATATTAGGGCCAAATGCGACTAAATAGAGCCTACCGTAAAAGTGTGCTGTTTAATGTCATAACAGAAGATGCCCTAGTAAATCGGATCCAGCCCGGATGCTGATAGACCCTGCATTAGTAAATTTCTAGCCGTTCTGAAATCTATGTGATTCCCCGGTATTACCTTTGAAAATTATGCAAATCGTAAGGACGTTTCTTTAAATGTGATTATCTATCTTTGAAGTACATAATTTTAATGATAGAATAAATTTTTATACATCAGTTATGAGCCTTGCGCGTCTTGTCGCGCAATTTAAAATAATGAGCTCAATTAGCTCGAAAACGTATCGTAACGACTGCAAAATAGTTATTAGGAAAATCTAGGTTATAAAAAGTTATAACGGTATTTTACGTAACAGTTTTTAATTACAAACCGCATGTACTTTTAAAGTAAAAAGATGTTTTTGACTTTTAAAAGATATCCTTATTAATATCATACGTACGCATAATGCAAAACTTAATTGAGTGTAACCTGTGTATATCTTAGGCACCTCTTAAAATTAAGATTATGGTTAGTTAAAGTTGACCTAATTTGAAATTTAATCCTAGAATGTAGTTCGGGGTTTTCCGATAGGTCAGTCATTCCATGGAGTGCCTTTTCTTCAGCTTTTGACTATAACATTTATATATCTGTAGTAACCATAATCTTTAGAGAAGTAGCAGTACTAGGTACCTCATATCTAGCAATTTATAAAGGGTTTCACTAGGACTCTAATATGACTGAATATTGACATTTAAATATGTTCAAAGTCTCAAAAGATTGGGAATTATGATTAAACTTTTTAACCAAACGACAACATTCTGAATAAGATGTAATTCCATTCTTTACTCAGATGTTTTAATAGTCAGTTAATTTCAGAACGTCGTATTATCAGAGGAGACAACAGCACAAATTTTCATTACAAATCTGTACCTACACAGAATCGCAGATCCATAGAACATTATTTATAGTATATAGTGATTTAATAACTAATTATCAATTCAGTAGTTTTTAATTAAATAATGGCAAATAAATTAATTGATTTTTCACTATTCAGTTACTGATGTTTATTGGGTCATTAAAATAACTGATAGCACCGCTTTAGTTTCACGGTTTACGATTAATAATATCAATGATGATATATAAATGACTAGTTATTTCGGGTAATCCTAAGAGAGAAATAAATAAAAACAACTTACACGAAGAGTAGATTCTTTTCGTATAAGTAATAATTTGTAGTACTTTTCCTCAACACAGAATTACATAAAAAATTCTGTTGGAAACCGGTACCGAATAACACGGATTTTACCATTACATCACTAATTTCAAGCGAATTTAAAGAATAAAAAAGAATAAAACCTACGAATGACGAAATTTTCATTTTTTCTGAACACGATTGAAAAAAATAAAACCGTCTTCATCGTCGACAAATAATATTGCTTTTGTATTATTGGAAAGAATGCACCTACAAGTCAATTTCTGTTTTCTGAACAAGTTTTTTTTACATCAAGCGTTCAACTAAATGATTGACGCTTTTGATATCATCAGTCTATTTTTAAGTTGCAATTGCAGAAAGAGCGAAGTTCGACGTCAATCTGTAAATGCTGAAATGACATTTAAACTTTTTTTTGTAATGATTTTGTAAAAGAATTAGAAAACGAGTTTTTGCAGTTTGGGCAGTTATTGGCAAAATCTAATTAGTTTTACGGTTAGGAAAATAATTAACAAAACAATGATAAATTATTCACATTACTGATACTACTTACTTATTAATAATGTAGAGGTAATTTAGAATGTCATGAACCTTGGCTTTAGGTTGCGTAGTGATAAAAATTTCCGCCTGTTCGTTGATATCTACAATTCTAGCCCTCAAAAGAATTAGTGATCGCCACTTTTTATAGTGTAAATATCCATGAGGAATTTTAAATATTTTATAAAGTTAATATCAAAAATTTTACTTAAGCACCTGGTTTATTCGTGGATAGTTTACTATGCAGATGGTATATTTACAAGCTATTTCGCAATAATTTTTTATAAACCACTTCCGGTCATTATAGGTATTTTTATTAGTTCTACAATTGGTATTGCGCATCAGCAATGAAAAAAAGTTGAACTTAATCATCATTGCGGTTCACTTCTGTAGTGAACCTACTGATACACATTAGCTAACATCACGTTATATAATCATATTCCCACCCATAATAATTAGCGCGACTATCAACATTGTTACAGCCAACGTAACCAATCTCTCTACTGTTGTAATCTATACTATCTTCCTTTTAAAATCTACACATTTTGCGGAGGCCGACCTTGAACGCGCGCGCGTATTTTGTTCATTTTTTTTTAATGATATTTCAATCCGTCCAACACTAACAATGAATGCGCTTCGCATCGCTATTGTTGCGAATCAACAGATCGCATCGGCTAAATTCAAAAGACGCGACCCAACAATAACGTAATAACCGCGAAGCGGGAAGGCCAGCGCGACTACCCTTTGGACCCTTCGTTAAGCACATGACGTGTAACGTCCTTGTTCTTTAACAGATGGCTCTTTAACTTCAGCAAGGGTTAGCGGTTGAAAACATACAACAATCATTCGGGTATTTGATGGTTANTTACCTCCTTCTCTATATCCATACAAAATATCTATCAAACAAATAAAATTAAAATTTTCTTTTGAAAAATGAAACCATTCCATCAGTATTTTCTTATGACGATGTCACGTTCAACTATCGTCAGTAAACCGACTTTACAGACAACCGATTTTTTTGCCTTTAACAAGTTACTTAATACTATTTATCGATTTGATTAGAAACTTTAGTAAATAATTATAGCTATGCCTCTTCAATTTCGTGATCGGAATGATTGTTTTGGTTTGCACTACAGTTTATATTTGTACATTTTGTAACCATTACCTTTAGTGTGAAGTTATTAACTGATAACATCACGCGGTTATAAACAAGAACCAGGAGATGCGTAAAAGAACAAATGTAAAAGAAAATACGAACAAATTAAATAATTGAGTACTTACATACGCAGTTTCCTTCAAATTTCCTCAACGGTCTTCATGATTATTCATAATGGCCTTTTGCGTTGTCGACGATCATTCTATAACAATAATACGAGTGTGAGTTACTGTACGTGTGAACCATTGTCTGTTTGGCAGACAAAAACATGTTTTGTTGCAATTAAAAAACCATAAATTTCTGAGAACAATTCACAAGGGGAACGAAGGGGGTAGGTAAGGAGGCGGAGGAAACGGAGAGGCGAATTTCTTAAACCCACGGCTCTTACGTTAATTTTACTTCTTTTCTTAAACACGGACGAGGAAAAGTCTTCCTTGCTGTCGCATTCTAATACATATAACATCGAAAATATACGTGACTTTTAGAATGTGTACTCTACATTTGCAGTTTTACAATAATAAGAGTAAAATTTGAAGTTACAATCGGATAAAGGATGCCATTGTTAATGCAAAGATATGAGACGAAAAATTAGAAGAAGTCGTTGATTTTCGGTATCTAGTAAGATGTCAGAAAATTAAGGATGGAAGGAGCAACAGAGATATAAAATGAGTCATTTCTGTGAAATTCGAAAAAGATTGTTAAAGGTGTATGTCTCGAGCACGAAAAAAAGGCTAGAAATGTTACAAATGTGATATTGTAGGCAAATGATGAGGATATCGTAGATAGAGAAGGTTAGAAATGAAGAGGTATTAGAAAGAGTAGGAGAACAGAGGACGAAATGGAAGCAAATAAGAAATAGACGAGATGGATTGGTAGGAAAATTTCTCAGGCATGAAGGACTAGTTGGAGATATTAGAAACAGTAACAGGAGTTGAGAGGGGAGAGAGAGAGACCTAGATTAAAGCAGTATTCACAAATAGTTGAGGGTGTGGTATGTTTTAGTTTTAGGGAAATGCAAAGTTTAACTCAGGATAGGAAAGAGTGGAGGTGCATGTTCAACTAATCTTAGGATTGACGACCCCAGGACGATGATGAAGGAATATCATTGTAATATGTTCTATTGCTATCTAATATGGCTTATATTCCTAGTCAATTGGTAACTATGAAATAAATCTTTCATGTTCTGAAATACAGGGTGCTCAATATTTACAAGATTGAAGTAATTCTACTAAATCTTCCAAATCAAAATCGCTCGAAAATGGATTGAAATTGAAAAAATATAGATAATTATCATAATTATAGACGTAACCAGGAAATACCATTAATTTCTAAAATGCTGTGGTTTAAAGGGTAGCTGATTAATAATATATTTCACCATTTCTAGTCCTATAGTTCTATAGTCCTTGTCATAGTTTTTAATCATTATCCATCCGCTACAATAATCCTTTCAATAACGAATATTCATTCCACCGCACTAGCATTGACACACCGAAGCTTTTCTTTTTACTTTTGACAAAACGAACACTTGGCAATCGTGAATATCAGCGTAATTCTCATCTAGGTTGTGTTTTATTTTTTCCGTTATTTAAGCGGGTAATTAAAAGGCTTAAAAGAATTTAATTTCACACAAAGTCGGAATGGAAAAGGAAATAAAAGTGGAGGAAAATAACTCAGGTCCGCATGTTCGTGATACATAATATTACGAGAGGGACGCAAAGGCGACGGACACGACGTCGACCAGACGTTGCGTTAAAAAACTCCGCCGTTACTTTCTGCTGGGCGGCAACCGATCCTCCCATTTTCAAATTATTTTTTGATGAATTGTATTTTCAATTTAGTCAAATGTCAAAATTGTACGTCCGTTTCTTTCCAGAGTCGGGTATAAGGAAACGAAATAATCCTTTAGACATGTTTCATAATGAGAATGTCCTTTTTGTGTGTATAAACGGAATAACATTTTAGCCAGGTTTTATCGATTTTAGTTCATTAATTCTGCAACATTGTTACGATGGATCGAAAAATGTTTTGTAAATGATATAACAAATTAAATTGTACGTTGTATTTTCAGTTTTTCCAGGGTTTGAAATAAATTCTCCGCCTACAATCTCGTCTAATAAGGGAGTTTTGTTACCTAAAATTTTAAGTTAATAACACAGGGTTTCAGTATTTCCATACCAATTTAAAAATTAAATAATGTTCACACTTTTTAATAAATTATTAAGTCAAACAAAATAATTCGAAGTGGTCTGACGCGGATCGATCTTTTTGGATCTCATCAGCGCGTCGCAGGCAGCTCCGACAGAACACAGACCAACTTTTACCTATTATTAAATTAAAATTATTAAGTGTATATTACATTATTATATTCGTAAAATGATCTTCCTCGTTTGCTGATACACAGGGTTTTGGCTTCCTTGTAGATTTCCTGTTACCTTCTAAATCATTGTGTGAGTGATCCCTGCAATTTATTTCTAATATGTTGTTTTAAATCTTCAATGTTAACAGGACACATCAATTTTAAGATAATCGAAAAATTATATTATAAATTAGTAGAATATCAAGATAATTAATCGAGTCGCTATCAGATGCTTGAAAAACATCTGGCGCAACACATCATTCGTTGTTGCTCCAGCCGTGTGTGAAGTTGTATTATCCTGCTGGAATCATTATCCTGCAGGATTACAATCAATTGAGGGTTCACGGTGTTGTGAGACCGAGAAATTCTGGCGTTACATCATCTTAGAAAGAGAAAAGCACAATTTTCCCAAATTCTCAATTTGGTGATATTAATTGTCCTTTCCGTTGGGGGTCACCTTAAAGGCTAAGTTGTATAGGTGCAACTTCTCCTTTCGATACTGAAGAGTTAAAGCAACAAACTGCTATAATTCTCCTTGAAATGATTCAGATACTAACAGGAAATCTTCAAGGAAGATTATAGAGGAAGCTTATGTTACGGATATATTAATCAAAAGATTAAATAATAAGAAAGTATCTTTATAATGATATACAGTACCTTCTTAATAAATTACTAAAACGCGCGAATGTTATTTAATTTTTGATTTTTCTATCCTACTCAGTATGATACATATACCTATTGTAAAACTATTTCCTTCTTTTTATGCCGGAAATTAAGTCATAAATTAGGATGCGAGCGACCAAAAAGTTAGCATCATCATCTATAATGATCTAAAGATATTTCTGTTAAAAAAAAAAAAACAAGCGGCAGGCCGATGTAAGTATAACAGTAATCAATTGAATTAATTAAAATCTTCTGCTATAACAGCGGATTTCTCCGATTCAAAGGCTTCGAGAGCGCTTTTGCTAAACGTTTTCAGAATGAAGACGTTAACTTTAAAATAATTTATGATGACAAATGAGGTGTCATTGTTGCCACCGCAACTGTCGAATACAAATGTAACCAAAAGCTCATTTGCAATTCGAATGTCGACAACGGACGACATCTACGACGACAAGGAAACAAACGCGAAGAGGCATAAGCGGCTGCGGCATCCGCCTCAGCGCGGAATCTGGACCAGTTTTTGTGTTCGAGGATCACGATGAGAGAAGCCTTGTTCGGATGTTGGCCCAGGCCAGGCACACACACTCCACTATCCGATCCTTATTTAAGTTGCCGCACAACACCGCCGACTGCGATTATTATACCTTTGTATGTTTGTATGTATACACACTAACACACACACACACACGTGCCTGTATAATACGCGACACATGGAAAATTAATGTTATCTTAATTTATTCATTGCCTAATTGCTACCGGCGCGAGCTAGTAGCATAAGTACAACTAACACCAATAAATATGTCGTAGGTGACAATTTATTTGTATGATCAAGTGGAAAACAGTGTGTATAAGTGCTATATTATGTTAACGGAAAAGGTTTTAATCGTATTTGTTTGGGATTGAAATTTAGTCTTTATACATTGTTCTACAATTATTGATTAAATTTTTAAATTCTACAAATGTACCTATTACATTGTTTCATTTGCATTCAACAGTGTGTTTATTTATAAATTGGAAAGGTTAATTTGGAAAATCCAATGTATTATTAAAATTGGATCTGTTTGGAGCATGGCTCTGGCCTAGACGTTTAGACCATTGATAAGTATTCGGGAGGACGCCGGTTCGATTCCGGGTCTATCTTCCATGATCCAACTGTTTCTGTGGTTTCCTTGAATCATTTAGGCAAATGCTGGGGCAGTAACATTCCACAGATAATCTTTCATTCCCTTCTGTCTTCATTTCGTTCGTCTCATCTCTTCTCACCCGAACCACCACCCACTCATTCTCACGATTCCTGAAAGGAAGAGAGTTTTCCGCCCTACCTTCCGGTGTAGTCTAGAGGGTCTGCCCACTCACCAGAATTACTGGCTGGTGGGAATGAAACACCCAAAATCTTTTTTAGTTGCACTTTGTTGACTCTGACTTAATAGGCGGATGGTAAAAATACCCTCAAAAAAATAGGAGAACAGAGGGCGCTATGGAAGCCAAGAAGAAACAAGAAGATTATTTGGATAGGTTGTTGGAAAAAGAATGAATGTTAATAAGGATAAAGGGAGACAGGATGAATGAAAACCTCCTGAGACATGAAGTGCTAAGTAAATTCATTTTAGAAAAAGGAGAACGAAGGAAGACCTAGATTAGATTCTTCTATGTTAATAGTTAAAGATGCGGGATGTTCCAGTTTTCTGTAAGTTCGAAAATTGGCTCTAGATAGTATAGAAATGGAGATGTGTATTCATCAAGTGCTGATGACTCCTAGCAAGTAGGCATTCAGAAGCATTTATAACGAAATTGTGGTTTATCTTAGGGAAAGTTTGAAAGTAGCTGAATGTATCGTTGAGATCCAGGAACTCCTGAGCACTGCACAGTCTTGCTCTACGGCAGCTAAGTGCCTATAATCAAGGTTTTGTTGGTAATTTCGGAACTGACTTTTGACGTTTGACGATTTCACCTAGGGTAGTAGGTATTACTAATGGTTTAACAGAAGTTTCACTTAGATTTTCATAGATTTAGTACCTATTTGAGGAAAATTAATTTTAAATAAGAACAAAAAACCTCGATAGATAGCGATCACCCGGATCGTTGTAGCCTAACCTAATGAAAAAAGTTCAAATTTTGGAAAGAGAATTGTCCTTTTGAAATAACCATTTAGGTATTAGGTAGGTAGGTTCATTACTTCTTAA